ACCTTGATGATGTAATGCACTAGTACCCAGCTAAATGTTTTCCCTTGCACTGGGAGGCTCCTGAGAATGACTTCTTATAAATAACAGACACTGTTTATGGCCAGACCATTATAAATAGCGAAGCAGGTTGTTTACCACAACAGTAGAAGTGATTTTTTCTGAAGATATGGGTAAACAACGCGATTTAACAGCCTTTGAATGTGGGATGATTGTTGGCGCTCGGAGCCATGGAGCGAGTATCAGCAAAACAGCAGAATTTGTTAAATGTTCAAGAGCAGCTGTTGTTAAAGTGTTTAAAGACTGGACTGTCAGCCAAAAATCTGGGTCTGAACGTGCGAATCGTGGCTGCCAGCGACTAGTCAATGTTAGGGCAGAACGGAGACTGGCACAAGACAACAGAAGGGCAACAGTGCATCAAATTACTGCAGATCTTAATCGGGTATCCTCTCAAATGATCTCTGAACGCACTGTTCGCCGCACACTGCATCGTATGGGATATGGAAGCCGAAGGCCTGTTCGAACACCTTTGCTGTCTGCAGTTAACAAGATAAAACGTCTCCAATTCGCACAGGAACACAAGGATTGGACAGTCGAGCATGGGAAAAAAGTCATGTGGTCCGATGAATCACGTTTCCAGTTGCATCATGCAGATGGCAGAGTGAGAATTTGGCAGAAACCGCATGAAAGCATGCACCCCACATGCATGAGTACAACCCTTCAAGCTGGTGGGGGCAGTGTTATGGTTTGGGGCATGTTTTCCTGGCATGATTTGGCCCTTTAATTTGTGTGGAACAACGTCTGAATAGCACAACATACCAAAGTATCGTTGCTGATCAAGTTCATCCTATCATGTTGATGGTGTATCCCAATGGAGATGGCTTCTTCCAACAAGACAATGCTCCATGCTACGGTGCTCGTATTGTGCAGGAGTGGTTTCAAGAACATGAGGGAAACTTTACCTTGCTTAGATGGCCCCCCAATCACCAGATCTCAATCCAATTGGGCATTTGTGGGACGAAGTTGAAAGTCATCAGGCAGCTGGTTCCACAACCATCAAATCTCACAGAACTGGACAGTGCTATTCATCAGGCATGGTGTCAGATTCCTCGCATCACCTTTCAACATCTCGTGGAGTCAATGCCAAGAAGAATCGCCGCAGTATTGAAGACAAAAGGTGGCCCAATGAAGTACTGATGGTGTGGTTATAATATTCTGGCCACTCAGTGTATTCTGTATTTAGAGATGTTATGTTAAAGAGAACATGTAAGGATAGAAATAGGAACTGGCATTGCTTTTTAGGTTTCATTCATGCTGCTGCTTTTTTTCTGGAATTTTTAGGTGCTTGGTAGGTTGTCTCTACCCTTGCTGAAAGGATGTATTGAGCCAAAAAGTTCATTTTGTAGGTTGCAGTTGTGGCCCAAGCACTACTTGTAACCTTCACACCACACATGCCTGTTGTTTTTAGGCTTCTCCTGGTGCCGCCTCTACCCTCAATCAGGATAGCTGTCCAGCCGCAGGTTGAACGCTTCCCAAACAAACACCTTGTACTGCATGTTGTTAAACATCAAACAAATTGTGAACAAGCTCTTGAAGCTCTTAAATACGCAAGACAAAAGTTGATATTCTTTGCAGATTTTTACTGGCTGCATGCTTGTTCCAGATCAGCGACTCACTAGATAACAAACCCAGAATCAGGATGACCTAGACCCAGAACCTGCATCATTAAAAACAAGGTGAAAATGGCAGCGACCATATTCTTATCCTCCCAGTTTCACTTTAAGAATACATTTGTAAAACCCCAACAAGAACAATAGTGCTTATCTTAAGACAAGGTTACCATGGTGAATGTAGAACCTCTGCTTCATAATTACAGACATAATAAATAAAAAGCTTTGGAGACAGCGAGAGAGAGAAGAAAAATTGTATTGTTATTTGGAAACATAGCCTGCGTGGAATTAGTGATTTCATATTGGCTGTAGGAATATATAAAACTTCCTTTTAATGAAACATAACACCCTTACTAGGAGGCTTTTTTGTCAATCCATTTGTTAGAACAAATTAGCATCACAGATATCACAATCTGAAGAACAAATACTGAATGCCCAAAAGCGTGCTGCCCGACAGATGGTTTAGTGGCAGGATATATATTTAATTTCATAGAAGAAC